TGTTGATGCAGAGAGTTCACCCAGTTAAGCGTGTGAAGTAAAAGTCGCAACACGGACCAAAAAACGTCTCGGTTAGTTTGAAAGCTGCAGTTCATAAAGAACCGGCAGGTGATTCCTGTGAAACTGCATCAGGTTTTCTCCCTACGTTGTTTGACTGATGTGTGGTAAATCACTCTGTGTGAGTCAGAACAGAAGCAAACTGCTCGTCTTGTAAAATGTGTTGCTTTAAGTAGAATTTTATAAAAGTTAGTGAGGAAACAACAGCAGGTCAGTGTGATTCTTATACACAGAAATCACTAGACTCGACGTATGTAGATGATACCATTATGAGTATTAAATATATTTTGTTTTTAATGAAAATAGTTATTTGGAAAACTTTTTTCTTTCATGATCTCAACCGGGCAAGTTTTCAAACCATTTTCTATCCTTTTCCTCATTTTCATGGTTGGAGTGTAACAAAGTATATTTACTCTGGTACTGAACTCAAGTCCAAATTTGAGGTGCTTCTACTTGACTATTTCCATTTAATGCGGCTTTCTACTTCTCTGCTACACTCCGAGGTAATACTATACTTTTACTACACAACATGTGTTACTTTATGTCGTCCTCCCCTTGCAGAAAAAAACCTGTATCTCCAGGTGTTGGCGATAACCTGCAGGATGTAGAGTTCTTTTATGGGCTGGAAAAATCCTCCTCTTCCTTCAGCTCAACAAACTCTTTAACCCGCCTCGGATCAGCTGGAATATTAATCGTCACAAAGCTGAAAACATGCTGTTTTTCTGACTGTTTAGAGATGCGTGGTTCTCACAGGACAGCGACGCTACAAACACGATTATCTTATAGACCATGATGCATTGCTGCAGATTAAACTAACCAAACAGGATATCAAGGAGTTAAAATGAGCGCTTCACCTCTGCTGTTAGCTAACGTTACATACGCCACTCTTCACCAGCAGCAGCGTAATGTTGCTTCAAACTTGGGTGGCGAGAGAGCCAACAAAGCTAGCCAACAACCGACGCAAGGTCTCTTATGGTAACGATGTCAGAGTGTGTTGGCTAGTATGTTTGCTAACATCAACATCAGATTTATAGCTAGCAGCTAAACATCTCTGTGAAACCACTGTCTGATTTACTTTGCTAACAGCCAAACATCAAGCAAGAGTAACACTTTTATACAGGTAACGAGTGGAGAACAGGAGGGCTTCTTAAAGAAGAACTAACAGGTCTGTGAGAGATGGAATTCTTACTGGTTGGTAGGTGATCAAATACTTATGTCATACAATAAAATGCAATTTTTAAAAAATCATACAATGTGATTTTCTGGATTTTTTTTTTTTAGATTTTGTCTCTCACAGTTAAAGTGAATTTTGATAAAAATTACAGACTTCTACATGCTTTGTAAGTAGGAAAACCTGCAAAATCAGCAGTGTATCAAATACTTGTTCTCCCCACTGTAATGAGTTATTACTGACTAGTCCAACAGAAAGGCCAGCCCCCCGCCTATCCTGCAGCATTTCAGCTCTTTTACCCAGTAAAAGCCAGTCTGAGCTTTACTCGCGTCTGGTCTCTTGCTTGTTTCTCTCTTTTTCTCTTCCTCACTTCCTCTGACGTCGTCTTCGGTGTCTTCGCAGCCTCTGCCATGATATCCATACTGAAACTAGAGAGCTAGCATGTTCCAAAGAACTCACACTAGACATTATATATTTCTTGCTTCTTTTTATAGCTTGCTGAAGACTTGTGTTGGTGTGTTAGATTTCCTGCCCAAGATTCCAGGAGCTGGGGCCGGAGTAACAATGACAGACGCCATTCTCCCTGTAAGTCAGTGTGGCATCAAGATTATTTTGATAATACTACATAATGTTGCTTGAATGCATCAGTAATATTAATCCAGAAACATCAAATACAGCGGGTAAAATTAGTGAACACGTCACCAAATTTTCTGAACTGTTTTTTTTTTTTTTTTTGGATTTCTTGGGTTGTGACTAACATCTGGCTAAAATTTCACGTCAATAGCACCTTTAGAAATGTTTTCTCAGAAAAATGGTGACATGTTCAATAATTATTTTACCTGCATTTTAATAGTGAACACCATACACACGACAGGAATAGTTTACTGCCATGTGAGTACTTTTACCTTGATACATTAAGTGCATTTAGGTGATAATACTTGTAGTAGAGCATTTTCACAGTGTGGAAATAGTACTTTTACTGAAGGAGCTGAGTACTTCTGCCACTGACTATAATCACATCAACTTCATCATATTGATGTAAAAAAACAATTCTGCTGATCAATTAGCAACATGCTGCTAATCTAAAAATAAGCCAGACCTAATACGCGTGAATGACAGACATGAGTGTATAAATCAGTGTGAACGGAGCTCAGGCCTCGCAGCTGTCAGTCCATCAGTGTGCAGCCTCGTTCAGATGATGCTGTGATGTTGGACTGACAGTTCAGTCTTTGCTAGAAAACCTCCATCTGGCCGCAGGTTTGTGTTTTTCTTTGATGCATCTGAGTGAGTGTTTGATGTGCTGATGCCTCTTTTGAGTTGAAGAAATGTAACGCAGATTAAATGTGAGTTTGCTTCTTTCTGCGACGTGAACTCTGGAGAGTGGACTCTGCTTCAGGGTGGACGTGGAGGACGAGGCTCCTGCAGGAAGGTAAGACGAGCAGCTGGATCCAAACACCAGTGAGGACGTGTTCTCTGATCATGAAGATATGTGTAGATTTACATTTAGTTTCATATTTAAAGCTGCTCTGTGGTGCTCAGAGTTTGAGAAGTTTGGCTTTTGTGGAAAAGTGTTGCAGCAAACAAAGATCTGGACTCAACCAAACCTTTTTGCTCCACAGCGATCAGCTCATTTAGATGCTTTTAGTCTGACTGTGACGTGTTGTCACCCTCAAACTGAAGCTCATCTGATAAGTCATTATTAAAACGCGATGTATCCCGTGATGCAGCAGAAAGACGTCTGAGAGGATGAAAGCTAAAGTTAACTATGAGAAGTAGTTGTCGACTGCATGACAGGATCTTATATTATACGGAGGAAGTGTAAATAATCCTTTTAACAGAGTCATGAAATGATTCATGAAAGAAGAATCACTGTGAGGACTGTTGATATATTAAATGTGATTGATAAATAAATAAAGTTGGACTGAACTGAATGACAAAGTGTTGTGATGGAGTGAGATGTTTTTAAAGCCTGCTGCTGCCTGTCAGACCCCACTGAGGGATCAGAACCACCTCTTCACTTTTTAAACCTATGAAACACTGAACATCTTATTTGATCCCTGCTGTGGATTCATTATCTTTTTATTTTACAAGGCAAGTTCATTAAGAACAGATTCTTACTTACAGTAACGGCCTGGCAGGAGACAAAGGCCTCCTGGAGGGAACGGGATTAAATTAAAATAACAAACAGAAGAGACAACAAAATGAAGGGATAATAAAACACTGCAAGAAACATAATAACAGACGATAATCTACAGAGAGGAGACGGAACAACCAGGGCACAAGAGTTCAATGAAACAAGCAGGGCAACGTGACATAAAAAACAGGAGTTTGTGATTGTGCGTCTAAAAGTGGCCGTGGTGACTTCAGAGTTGTGTATTTATCCTGTTAACAGATTCAGCTGTAGGTGACGCCACAGTGCTGAAGGACCAGTCAGTGACGCTGCTCTGATTAAAGTTAATATAAAAGGTCTTTCAAACATATTTTATAAACTCTTCATATGCTTTGTGTGTAGAAATCTTACTGTGTAGTTACTAAATGTAGTGAAGTAAAAAACTCTCCCTCAGATGTGGCGTAGAAGTAGAAAGAGGCATGAAAATAAAATACTCAAGTAAAGTACAGGTACTTCAAACTTAGTGCTTAAGTACAGCAGGGGAGACCGGGGATGGTTGTAACATTCCTGTCTGTATCTCAGAGCTCTTTTAAACCAGGGCGTTCAAAATGTGATAGAAAGTAGTTCCATGTGTCTGCTGTTAAAGGGGCTATTTGTAGTTTTTCAATGAAATCACAACGGGCTGCGTATCACCAGGATTGTTGTAGCCCATTTTGATGTGTGTTATATGTTGTGTGGTAAGTTGTATAGGGGTGAAGCTCTTCCACCTGCACACCGGGGGCATAGGCAGAGAATCATGGTCGTAACAGAGGCTATATGAGGAAGTCACAGGTGAATAGCTAAGGGGAATTATGATCTGGGGAAGCCACACAGTTTTTCAACCGCGCTTGCGTGCATGTGCGTATGTTCGAGATAGATTGTGTCGTGTCCTAGCCTTAGCATCGTGTTTACTGTTTTTTTGCATACGTACAAGCTCGATTTACATCCGTAATGCTAGCAGCAGTGTTTTGTAAGTAATTTTATTCTGCATAAAAGTGTAAAGTGTTAACCGCGTGCCATGGCAGACGTGAGTTTTTGCACCGTTACGCGTTGGAGACAACTTCAAATTCCCTCAAGTCGCTTTTTTTTGTGGTACGATCGCCACTACAAGTATCATGTCAAAACTGTGGATTTAGCCTGCAAGAAAGGATGTAATGGTACTTTTCTGAGTACTCTCATACTTTTACTAAAGGAACATTTTCAGTACAGAACCATTACTTGTAACAGAGTACCATTACTTTGTGGTATAGGTACTGAATACTGTTAATACTTGCCTGTTATATTACCTGTGTGGTGACGCATTAAACACATATGTTCAGTAGAACTGTTATTCTAACGGAATAAATGATCATATTATGTCTGTGGTTGAAGGTTTTGTGTTGCTGGGGAGGAGGACTGAAGTCTGTCCTCGCCCGCGTCACTAAACTCACGGGCAGCCAATCAGAAAAATCCCTTCACGCGTTGCTAGGCAGGTCAGCGCGGCATCAGCCAATCGGATTGTCCGGAGCGGCGACGGGCGCAGGGAGCTGAGACAGACCGAGTGACAGCGTCCGAGTCCCGGGGAAGAACATCACGGAGCCTCCGTGGAAAAACCAAACCCTACACCGCAGTCAAGATGCCGAACAAACCCAAGAAGGAGAAGGTGAGCCGGCGGCTACGTGGGCCGTGTGACAGCTCGGTGTAACGGCGCGGAGCAGCCGTTAGTTCAGCTGATGGAGACTTTACCTTTCCCGAGTAGCGGCTAGCTTACATGCTAAGGCCCCGCTAGCAGAGGACGGCTAAGCTAACAGCTAGCTGCAGAGTTTCTAGCAGCATTTAACGTGTGTGTCTGCGGCTGTCAGCCGGTCAGACACGGTATTTAGTGAAAACTCCACCTCAGCTGCGGTGTGCAGTGGTTAACACGGCGAAGTGGGACGTTAGCATGCAGGCTAGCTTGACATTAACGGTCTGCTGGAGGTGGAGCTCCGGGGAGGGACCGCTGCATGTCCCCCTTAAATTATTCATCCTCTAGAAAACAGGCAGGGCTCGCAGATAAACCTGTGTGATGACTGTGACTCATACATTTATGTCTGCCTCCGTGAAATATGTGATGCTAACCAGCAGAGAGCAGGCGAGCCGTTAGCTCCGCCAGACTCCTTTAGCTTTTCAGCTGATTTAATCATGTGGAGAGCGTCTGATGGCCGGAGACTCAGCACGGGATCCGGATGGGTTTGGACTGTGCACAGCCAGCTGGTGTGTTAACATCCCTGCCGATTATTTCCCCCAGTCATCCATCACCTCTATGGTTGACTTTGTTTCCCCTAGACAGCCATTGGTTTAATATTTGTCATGATCCTTTAAAGAAATTCATTATTTAGTTGAGTTCAATGTGACATCTTAAACGTCTTGTTTATTCCAAAACCTGGAGGGATTAGGTTTTTAATGATATTAAACCGAAAGCTCCAGTTCATTTATGTGACAGTCAACTTTAAACCTCACTAACCAACGTGACACAGGGACACTAGGGACATCACGATACCGATACCAAGTGGACCCCAGAGTGAAAAATGAAAACAATAAAGGATGTCCAGGACAGATGAGAGGTGGTTTGATGCCAGTAGATTCATAAATGAGCGAGCTATTGAAATTACAACCTTACACTGTGCATATTAAATAATTTAATAAAATATTTAATTTTCATATCTTTTCTTTAGAAACTCTCAGGTGTGAAATCTCTATGTATACTGGCCGCGGTCCCTAACTCCTCCTGCAGTAACAGGAGCGTTGGACGGACGTTCAGTTCTTAGAGCTGCAAACTGCATCATCACCTTTGGTGATTTTCAGGTGATCAAACTGTGAAACGTCTGCCTGAATCAGCTCTCCAACAGAACTGGGAGAACTCAAGGCTTTGACACAGAGTTACTGAAGGTAACAACTGGTGCGTTCGCTGTCGCTTTACCTGCTCCGTGCTTCTAAATTATCCACTGTGTCCGCGTCTTGTAACGTAACAGATAACAACTCTCTGTGTTTCTCTGCAAATGCTAAAATGGGTGGTCAAATATACCTGTGCGGCTCGCCCCAAGCAAAGTCAATACGATGGAAACACTGACCTGCCCAGGTAGCAAAAGGTGGGCGAGACATGACCATCTGTAATATAAGAAACTCTTTCATATGAAAATGAACTTGTAACCTGAATATCTGCTGGTGATATTGAGCCTTACGTAAAAGGAAGAATGACAGCATGTGTTTTAACGGCTGTGAATAAAAACTAAATCTAAAAACAGGCTTGGTGAGCAGAAGAAGTACGAGGCTTTAGAGCTTCAGTCCGCCGGCTGCACGTAGTTCAGAGAAAACATGAAGATCCTGATTATTGATCTCTAATCAAAGTGCTGAGACAAACAGGAACAGAGCAATCACAGTTTTGCAGTGTGCGTGTCAGGATCACATTCGCCTCGTGCTAACCTGTAGTGCAACTAGTGTGGTTACCCATGAAGCATGCTGCAGTGGATCAGAAACATGCCTTTGGTGTGGGAGATCGGGGGTTCGATTCTCAACACTTAACCCTTCGTTGCTCCAGAAGGCGTGCACCTCTGACATATATAGCAATTGTTTTGGATAAAAGCATCAGTTACGGTCGGCTGCTGCATCTCCTCTAACAGTCTCCTGTAGGAGTCCAGCAGGCCGGCGGCGGGCTGTTATTGATCCTGTAGTGCTCCTGATCCTGCTGAGTACAAACAGCTCGGGTATCAGTATCAGTCTCTGTGCGGATCAGGTGGACACTCTCCTCTCGCTAATGAGCCGCTGACGCCATCAGTCAGCAGTGAGAGTGGAAACGCTTCAGTGTTCGCCACGGGATTATCTGAGACTGCGGGGGGGGGCCTCGGAAATGCAGTAATCTGGTCCACTTTGAGAGGTTAAATCTATGAAAACCTTTGTGCTCAACAAATTTATTTAATTTAGTTTTCCCAGCAACCCAAAATTAAAAACTAAAGGACTCCAAAGTGTGTGAGCGTGCGAGCTGACAGCAGCTCTTTAATGTTACTATGAGAAGTGTAAAAATATTCCTGTTCATTTTGAAACTATGGTGGGACAAATCAGACTGTGGCAGGCGCCGTGGTCTCTGTAAGTAACGTGAAACGCTGGTACCATCCTCCAGCTCCAAACCTCTGCGGGCCAGAAAGAACCAGGAATCTGTAGCAGCCCCGCCTGAAACATTTCCCAGTTGTAATTTGTTTTGCTGTTGTTGTCTTTTTATTCTGCGTGTGAACAGGAAACAACCAAATCTGCCAAAAGCAGCATGAAGAACAGTAACAGCAGCAGCAGCAGCAGCAGCAGCAGCAGCAGCAGCAGCAGCGGGAAGGATGCTTCCTCCGAGAACTCAGACGAGGTGAGTCTCTGCAGTCTGACAGCGGCGTCTCCGGCTCGCCACGCAGCTCGGCGTCACGCGTTCACCACACTAAAGCGATTCCCACAGTGTGGAGCTGCCTCTGGGGGTGCGCCACAGTAAAAATGTGATGGTGGTGTAGTAGTATAATAACTACAGCAATTATCTTTTGGTGGAATTTTCATGAAATAAAAACTTGAATAGGAAAGTAATAATATATAACGTTACATCGTGATGTTTGCTGTGTTTAAGCGCAGTGAGAAGGTAACGGGTCACTTTCAAGAGTGTCACTGAGTGAAACCCCGTAGCTGTGACTTCAGGCATGTTCACACTGGTGTAACAGGGACACTGTGCTGCTCGGCGTCACAGAAACACATTTTCAGATATTTATATATATATATATATATATAATTAACTAAAAGCATCAGCTAAATGAATTAATTGTAGTCTGGACTGTGGAGGACTGTAGTCTGGTAATATTACAACTTTTTGTGGAAGAGACGGACGTGCAGCTGAATGAAGGACAGCATGCACGTTGGTGTGAGGACAGTTTAAAAGCTGCTGAATCCAGAGGAGTCACACACCAAGCTCAGAGATCTGAAGTGGGAAACATTCTTCAAATAAAATGTCTGTATAGGTGACAGGAGGCAGTCCTTGTCCTGATGGGGGACAGAGGTTCAGGTGTAGTTTACCTGCAGGAACAGAGACGGTGTCAGAGTCCTGTCTGGATCAAAGATCCTTTCTCTGCCTTCATTAACCTGTTGAACAGACCAGGTGATGTTGGTGATCAGGCAACAGAACCGGTTTCTCTTCATGATGTGAAGTCCAGCAGACGTGCAGAGAGCTGCTGCTGAACACAGCTGTCATTAATTGTTCACCAAAACCATACAAAGGATAGTCCATCTGAACCTGTTGTCCCTGAACGCCTCATGTCATCATAAACCTGGTGTTAATACTGGCTTATTACAGAGAAATCACTGGGGGAACAGATGTTCAGAAGTGTTGTAACTCTAAACCTGTGTGTGTGTTCAGTCGCAGCAGCAGCAGAGTGGCAGTAAGCGTCCCAGTAACAGCACGCCTCCTCCAACTCAGCTCAACAAGATCAAATACTCTGGAGGACCTCAGCTGGTGAAGAAGGAACGCCGCCAGAGCTCGTCCCGCTTCAGCCTGACCAAGAACCGAGAGCTGCAGAAGCTGCCTGCACTCAAAGGTAGACCTAGACTACTATAGACCCGACACTAACCAACACCCAGCACTAACCTGGACCCCCACCAACCTAGACCCGACACTACCTTAGACCTGACACCACCCTAGACCCGACACTACCTTAGACCCGACACTACCTTAGACCTGACACCAACCTAGACCCGACACCACCCTAGACCCGACACTACCTTAGACCTGACACCAACCTAGACCTGACACCACCCTAGACCCGACACTACCTTAGACCTGACACCACCCTAGACCCGACACCACCCTAGACCCGACACTACCTTAGACCTGACACTACCTTAGACCCGACACTACCTTAGACCCGACACTACCTTAGACCTGACACTACCTTAGACCCGACACTACCTTAGACCTGACACCACCCTAGACCCGACACTACCTTAGACCCGACACTACCTTAGACCTGACACCACCCTAGACCCGACACTACCTTAGACCCGACACTACCTTAGACCTGACACCACCCTAGACCCGACACTACCTTAGACCCGACACTACCTTAGACCCGACACCACCTTAGACCTGACACCACCCTAGACCCGACACCACCCTAGACCCGACACCACCCTAGACCCGACATCACCTTAGACCCGACACTACCTTAGACCTGACACCACCCTAGACCCGACACCACCCTAGACCCGACACCACCTTAGACCCGACATCACCTTAGACCCGACACCACCCTAGACCCGACACCACCCTAGACCCGACACTACCTTAGACCTGACACCACCCTAGACCTGACACCACCCTAGACCCGACACCACCCTAGATCCGACACTACCTTAGACCTGACACCACCCTAGACCCGACACTACCTTAAACCCGACACTACCCTAGACCCGACACCAACCTAGACCCGACACCACCCTAGACCCGACACCAACCTAGACCCGACACCACCCTAGACCCGACACCACCCTAGAACCGACACCACCCTAGACCTGACACTACCTTAGACCCGACACCAACCTAGACCCGACACCACCCTAGACCCGACACTACCTTAGACCTGACACCAACCTAGACCGACACCACCCTAGACCCGACACCACCCTAGACCCGACACTACCTTAGACCCGACACCACCTTAGACCCGACACCACCCTAGACCCGACACCAACCTAGACCCGACACTACCTTAGACCTGACACCACCCTAGACCCCACACTACCTTAGACCCGACACTACCTTAGACCTGACACCACCCTAGACCCGACACAACCTTAGACCCGACACCAACCTGGACCTGACACTACCTTAGACCCGACACCAACCTGGACCCGACACTACCTTAGACCCGACACTACCTTAGACCTGACACCACCCTAGACCCGACACTATCTTAGACCTGACACCACCCTAGACCCGACACTACCTTAGACCCGACACCAACCTGGACCCGACACTACCTTAGACCCGACACCAACCTGGACCCGACACCACCCTAGACCCGACACCAACCTTGACCCGACACTACCTTAGACCCGACACTACCCTAGACCCGACACCAACCTTGACCCGACACCACCCTAGCTTATGCTTCAGTGGGTGGTGGGAATCTTAAAGTAGGTATTGGTCTGTGTGTGGGGGTTCCCTGTAGACTCCAATGTCCGGACTCCTGTCCTCCTCAATGTGGACGGCACAGTCCACAAGTCTCTTGGACGGATGAGGGATGAAACGTATTCAAGTATCTTCAACCAAGACCAGTTGCCCTTGATTTTAACCTTCCTTTGAGAACCATGACCTAGATGACAGAGAACCTTCACAGACATGTAAAACAACAGCTCAGTATCTGATCAACTTATATGAAGTGTGTGAAATATAAATGAGAATAAATACACGTCAGGAAGTCTTTAAATAGACTTCATCTGTACCGAGTACAAGCAGCTTTTAATGAATCTTCAACAGTACGATCAGGGTCTTCTCTGACCTCCTTTCTTATCGTGAACAGAGGTTTATTTGAACGGTGAGCAGTTGTTAGTGGTCCAGTCTTCTTCTGTGGCGTTGGCTGACCACCACCCCCCTGTCCTCCTCAGACTCCCCCCTGATGGAGCGTGAGGAGCTGTTTGTTCAGAAGCTGCGTCAGTGCTGCGTCCTGTTCGACTTCGTCAGCGATCCGCTCAGCGACCTCAAGTACAAAGAGGTGAAGAGAGCCGGACTCAACGAGATGGTGGAGTACATCACGCACAACAGTGAGGTGGTGACCGAGTCCATCTACCCCGAGGCCGTCGTCATGGTGAGAAACCATACACACACTTTTATAAATCTTTTAGTCCTAATGAACTTAGTTCCATCCTCAAATCAGGTCTGAACCCTCAAGCAGGCCTTTAAGAAGTCAGGATGAACATGTCTTTGAGAAAAGTGTTGTTTGCCTGCTGGCTAGCTTGCAAAGCACCCGACCCTAAATCCTATCCCTCCAGGTGGCGGGCCCGTAGGGGGCGGCTCCCTGTAGATCTTTTGGGCTGTGCCCCGTGGGTCAAAACCTGGCCCCCAGAGGCTTGGCGACAAGCTCCCCTCCTGCTGCATGTAGGGTCCATGATATAAATAGTGAAGTAAAAACTCATTTAAATGACTTGATGTTCTGCTGGGCTGCTTCATCTCTAATAATGCATCAGGATTTATTTGTAGATTATGTTCAACAGTAATCTCATTTATTAAATAATGTAGTGCAGTAGAAGCATAACGTAGCAGACAATGGAAATACTTAGTAAAGCACATGTACCTCAAAGTTGTACAAAGTGCAGTACTTGAGGAAATCCATTAACCACCCCTGATGTTTAGGGAGGGAGGAGGTGTCTCCTGGTCGCTCTGTTAGTAACAGCTGTGTGTGGTTTCCAGTTTTCAGTGAACTTGTTCCGGACTCTTCCTCCGTCCTCCAACCCGACCGGAGCCGAGTTTGATCCTGAAGAGGACGAACCGACGCTGGAGGCTGCCTGGCCTCACCTTCAGGTACACTGAGTGTGTGTGTACCGGTGAAAGCCCAGAGCTTCATCTTGGAGTTACGGTCGTGTTTTGACATCAGACAGTGTGAAACCTGTTTCTACATTATCCAGCTCACAGGTGTTTTCAATAAAGCTGCGTTTTAACAGCCAGGACACCGGAGCCCACAACCATCTTGTTTTTGCTGACCTCTGCTGGTTTAACTGTTGGTTTACTGATGTGAACTTCCTCATACTCAGAACCAGGGATGCAAACTGAAAAAGGTGATAAAGTGACTTCTGCCCGTGGCCTGGCTAATTTCCTATTTAGCCCTCCGCCAACTTGAATGGGGGTAAAATAGTAACTGTGTGGATCTAGACCAGTGTTTCTGCATCAGGGACCCCTATACTGACAGAAATTAGACCACGGACCCCATCTGATAGGGTTTTGGCTTTTAGATGTTTTATTACAGAACAGAATAGTCGTACATTGTGTCACTGTGTTACTCATTGATGTAAATAGTAAATAGTGAAAATAAATTATTCTCCTTTTGGCTTGGGACCCCTTGGAACCCACTCAAGGACCCATGGGGGTCCCCGGACCCCACTGTGAGACTTTCCAAATGTTTTCGACCAAATGGATGTGAAATGAGTCATTTCACGGGGCTTGACAAGCTAAAAAATATGTATCCTCTGTTTTACACTAGTAAAAGTGGCTTCAAGGTGCAGACCCACTCCCACCCCCACATCAACACACATCACATAAATGGCCTATTTTATAGTTTGCACCCCTGCTGTACTGGGAAAGACTGGTTTCCAGTAACGTGCACTTCACTACTGCGACACAGTTAGATTTTAAAGTTCTACTTACTGATTGATGACATTATAACTGGGTGGATGAGTGTGTAATGATCTTTGTTCTCAGTGAGACGTCCTGAATAAATAACTGATGATAAAATAAAAACTATGGTAAATCTGTGTGTGTTTGTGCTTACCTTTGCCCTGCTGTTTGTCTGCAGGTGTCCCAGTGCAGTTATCATTACTATTAGCTGCTGGACCCTCCTTATAATTATGGTGTGTTGTTGTGTTTTTAGAGAGCAACATGTCTGCCGTGTGTTTGTCTCCACAGCTGGTGTATGAGTTCTTCCTTCGCTTCCTGGAGTCTCCAGACTTCCAGCCAAACGTCGCCAAAAAACACATCGACCAGAAGTTTGTAATGTCGGTAAGATCTTATCTCTGAGACTCCAAACGAATGAAAATGACGGTGATTCAGACGGAACGCTGACTTTTTGTTTAACATTAAAGCTGCTGGAGCTGTTTGACAGCGAGGATCCCAGAGAGAGAGACTTCCTGAAGACCATCCTCCACCGGATCTACGGCAAGTTCCTCGGCCTCCGGGCCTACATCCGCCGCCAGATCAACAACATCTTCTACAGGTCAGAACACAAGCACCACGAAACCAGATACAGATTGACCGACATACTTGTACAGAATCAAAAACACCTGCGGAACCCATACAGAACCACAAACACGTACAGAACCATGTGCAGAACAATGTAGAGAACCACAAACACATACAAAACCACAAACATGTAGAGAACCACAAACACGTACAAAACCACAAACACATAGAGAACCACAAAAAGGTACAGAAGCACAAACAGGTAGGGAACCACAAACACGTACTGAACCATTTAGAGACACACTAACATTACAGAAGCACAAACATGTACTGAACCACAAACAGGTACAGAAGCACAAACACGTACTGAACCATTTAGAGACCCACTAACATTACAGAACCACAAACAAGTACAGAAGCACAAACACGTAGGGAACCACAAACATGTACTGAACCACAAACACGTAGGGAACCACAAACATGTACTGAACCATTTATAGACACACTAACATTACAGAAGCACAAACACATACAAAACCACAAACACTTAGAGAACCACAAACGCGTACAAAACCACAAACACATAGGGAACCACAAACGCATAGAGAACCACAAATGCGTACAAAACCACAAACACATAGAGAACCACAAACACTTAGAGAACCACAAATGCGTACAAAACCACAAACGCGTACAAAACCACAAACACATAGAGAACCACAAACATGTACAGAAGCACAAACGTACTGAACCACAAACAGGTACAGAAGCACAAACAGGTACTGAACCATTTAGAGACCCACTAACATTACAGAACCACAAACAAGTACAGAAGCACAAACACGTAGGGAACCACAAACATGTACTGAACCACAAACACGTAGAGAACTACAAACATGTACAGAAGCACAAACATGTACTGAAGCACAAACAGGTACTGAACCACAAACATGTACTGAACCACAAACACGTAGGGAACCACAAACATGTACTGAACCATTTATAGACACACTAACATTACAGAAGCACAAACACATACAAAACCACAAACACTTAGAGAACCACAAACGCGTACAAAACCACAAACACATAGGGAACCACAAACGCATAGAGAACCACAAATGCGTACAAAACCACAAACACATAGAGAACCACAAACACTTAGAGAACCACAAATGCGTACAAAACCACAAACGCGTACAAAACCACAAACACATAGAGAACCACAAACATGTACAGAAGCACAAACGTACTGAACCACAAACAGGTACAGAAGCACAAACAGGTACTGAACCATTTAGAGACCCACTAACATTACAGAACCACAAACAAGTACAGAAGCACAAACACGTAGGGAACCACAAACATGTACTGAACCACAAACACGTAGAGAACTACAAACATGTACAGAAGCACAAACATGTACTGAACCACAAACAGGTACTGAACCACAAACAGGTACAGAAGCACAAACACGTACTGAACCATTTAGAGACCCAGTAACATTACAGAACCACAAACAAGTACAGAAGCACAAACACGTAGGGAACCACAAACATGTACTGAACCACAAACACGTAGGGAACCACAAACATGTACTGAACCATTTAGAGACCCAGTAACATTACAGAACCACAAACGCGTACAGAAGCATAAACACGTAGGGAACCACAAACATGGTCTACGGTGATTGGTTCACAGGTGACTGTGAAATGAACAAGTCACATGACCTGTGTTTACTCATGAAATACCGTGAAGTAAAAACCAGAGTGTCTGATGAGAACCCAGTGTTCCCAGTCTGTGTAACTGGTTGGTCTGGTTGTTTTACAGATTCATCTATGAGACTGAACATCACAACGGCATCGCTGAGCTGCTGGAGATCCTGGGGAGGTAACGTGCACACACAGAGTGTTAAACTGATGTCAGGTCAGCTGCAGCACAGCTCAGGGCAGGATGCCTCATCCCTGCAGTGTTATGATGGTACACATTCATGTGAAGTGGCTGCAGTGCAGTGTTGTAAAGCCCCTTCTGTCATAGAGTGGCTCTTTGTTCCTGACTGACTGGTGACATCAGATATTACATTTTAAATAAGTGGTTTAAATTTCACAGGGCTCCCAGAAGCAGAATGACTGAACTGTTTAATTCTTCCTCAGCATCATCAACGGCTTCGCTCTCCCTCTGAAAGAAGAACACAAGATGTTTCTGATCCGAGTTCTTCTGCCACTTCATAAAGTCAAGTCTCTCAGCGTCTACCACCCTCAGGTCAGAGCGCCGCCTGTCTGTCTCTTACTGACGACTCAGGACATTATAAATCTGTTTCTGACGTTAACCCGTGTGTCTGCAGCTGGCGTACTGCGTGGTCCAGTTCCTGGAGAAAGACAGCAGTCTGACGGAGCCGGTGAGTCCGGCACATTAACAGGAACACGGAGTGAGAGCTCGGTGTGAAACGCCGCTGTGGGCAGCTGTTGGTGAGGGGAGAGGTGTGTGAAGGAGTCTGACTTCCTGCCGCCTGTGACCTTTGACCCTGCAGGTGATCATGGGTCTGCTGAAGTTCTGGCCGAAGACTCACAGTCCGAAGGAGGTGATGTTCCTGAACGAGCTGGAGGAGATCCTGGACGTCATCGAGCCGTCTGAGTTCGTCAAGGTCCAAGAGCCGCTCTTCAGACAGCTCGCCAAGTGTGTGTCCAGCCCGCATTTCCAGGTACCAGAACCAGAACTACAATGTGAGCCTCAACCAGAACCTGCAGCTAAACTACCAACAGGTGGAAGAAGTACTCAGATCTTTTACTTCAGGAAAACTAGTCCCGCAGTCAAGTCCAGAATCCGCATCAAAATATACTTCAAGTATCAAAAGTAAGGCTGGGCACGTTAACGCGTTATTAACTCATTAATAATTCAACACCGACAGTTATTTTATCGCACGTTAACGCAGTTTAAAATTATTGTTTTTTTGAAAGTCCGTTGTTCACTGGCTCTGAATAATCAGCCACCCAAACGAGCAGCAGAGGCCTCGGCAGACTACGCTGGACGCAGCGTGTGGGAGAAATAAGACAAGCGCTCTGCGAGCAAACAGCAGGCGCTCTATTGAGAGTAACCGTGGCAACACTGCTGTAACCTATTACACTTAAGTTAAAAATTTCAGGTTACATAACTTTACCTGATAGGCCGTCATCTAGTTTTTGCGGGACGCTCTGCTGTGTGAACTCCCTCCTGTTGATGTCCTATTCAGTAAACAGTAATAGACTGTGGAAACTCCCAAACAGCGAGTCTCTCTTCCAGTGATTCGTGCTGCGCGTCACGTACAAAGTTCAAGACAATTCAACTTCGGCGATGGTCGTTCGTGTGTGTGAGGCGAGCACTTCCCCTCACTCTGGCAGCGACACTTCCTGCTGAACACAGACTGTTTCTGCTGCTCCCTGATAAAAGAAAAATGTTTCTGCTGATACCTGCTCAGAAAACTGGACACTAACTTGTTTTATCAAGCTAGATAAAAGGTAACGCCCTGGCAGAGACAACAGCTTTGGTTTAATATTTGATTTGATCACATTAATGTTTAAGTTGAGATTTAACAGAAATATTTTATTGCTGCTGTGTAAAGGGAATACTGCTGGGAAACAGCTCCTTATTTGTTTAAAGTGTTTGCAAACCACACGTTTTTGCACTTTGTGTTTATAGCAGGACATTTAAATTGTGTGCGTAAAAGTACTCATCATGCAGAAAAACATGATGCTACTGGATTTTAATATTGATGGTTCATGACTTTAATTAGATTCTGCTGTCCAGTTTGTGAACTTCCTGTAACGCTGGGCGATGAGGCCAAAACACGTGTTTCTGAACTGTGATCTTTTCCCTCTGAGGTGAAACGACCTGTACAGCCATGAATTTCTGTTTGCACCATTAAAACACAGAACTGTGATTGTAAACTCAGCAAAGCCATCTGGGCGGCTGCATCACACTGTCGGTCGGTCCACGAGGTCACTGAGGTTCTGTGAAGTTTGGAAACACAAGTAAGAGGAAGTTAAGTTCTGCAGCCTCTGCGGGAGGACTGCACAACATATCGTTTCAGCATCGCCGTCGCAGCGTGCCCAGGCGCTGCAGTCACATCGCAGAACGACGTCAAGCAGGTCAAAATAACTCCTCAGCTTTTTTACTGCTTGATACAAAAGGAAAACTCCCACAGTTCTCATTTCCATCACTCATCTATAAGAGATGTCTGATTGAACACAATTAACTTTGATCTCAGGGTTCGTGGATACACAACCACCAATCACAAGCAAGCCCCGCCCCCGTTAGCTTCCAATATGTTTCCTGCCTTGAAGCATCTTCAGAAAAATAGGAAATTCTTCAGATCAGTTATTTTTCCCACCGGGTCACCCCGGTGATTCCAGGATGCTCATTTCTTTTCAAATAGATAAAAATTAAAGTCAGCCGGTGAAAAGTCCTGTAGAAATCGCAATGTCAGTTTTTCCAAATATCGTGCAGCCGTACTCTGGGATTCTCCTGAGATGTAGAACATGAACGCCTTAAATCCTGATCTGAAGTCGTCGGGCTGCATAAAGTTTGATCTCAACCTGTAACAGTGCATCCCCATTTATTCCTTGATCGTGTTATTAATCTGTCAACCAACATGGCCGCTGCTGTGAGGGGATGAACTCTGACCTGATGATGAAGGTGTGTGTGTGTGCAGGTGGCGGAGCGAGCTCTGTATTACTGGAACAACGAGTACATCATGAGTCTGATCAGTGACAACGCCGCCAAGATCCTCCCCATCATGTTCCCCGCCCTCTACAAGAACTCCAAGAGCCACTGGAACAAGTAACGCACACGCACACACACACATGAACATAATGAATCCCTGCTGATGGACAACAGGATCAGGACTCCACAGAGTGTGATGCTCTGAGCAACACACTTGTTAGGTTCAGTTAAAGTTTTGAGTTTTCACTCAGAACAGTCTAATTAACGAGCTGCTCTGAGGTTAATTAATCTAAATTAATGGTTCCTCCTCAGGACCATCCACGGGCTGATCTACAACGCTCTGAAGCTCTTCATGGAGATGAACCAGAAGCTGTTTGACGACTGCACGCAGCAATACAAGGCCGAGAAGCAAAAGTAACACACACACACACACACACGCGCACAGCAGGTTCACCTGGTTCACCTTCCTGCAGGTGTGACCGAGTGTGTTTGTGTCTGCAGAGAGAAATACAAGCTGAAGGAGAGAGAGGAGGTCTGGCACAAGATAGAGGAGCTGGCCCGACAGAACCCCCAGGTACTCTCCTCACCTGTGTGTCCTCTCCTAAATGTAAATGCTCCGTACTTGTATAGTGCCTTTCTAGTCTTTTCGACCACTCAAAGCGCTTTTACACTACATCTGCATTCACCAGTCACACACATTCATACACTGAGCCTAAGTGCTCAAACGGAAACTAACATTCACACTCACTCATACACTGGCGGAACAGCCGCCAGGGGCAATTCGGGGTAAAGTATCTTGCTTATGTGCAGCCTGGAGGAGCCGGGATTGAACCGCCGACCTTCCGATTAACGGCCAACCCGCTCTTCCTCCTGAGTGTCTCCTCACCTGTGTGTCCTCACCTTTTTTATTGTCTCATGAAGCACTTTGTTACATTTATTTTGAAAAGTTCGTCATTAATGAAGTTTTTATTATTATTTTATTTACGTAACTACGTGTTCCTGTCTTTCAGAGCAATAAGCTCCACCCCCTCCGCCCTGGACTCCACCCACAGGAAGAGGTTTGTGTTTCTGAATATAAAGGGGGCGTGGTCTCTGTTACTTTAAAAGTGTTGCATTATGGGTGTAGCCTTAATGTCATTAAGCTAGTGAGTTTGTTGGCTCATGTTACAAATCAAATACTTCATCTTAAGACTTTACATCATGTGTATTTGCAGTACATGCTGTACAGCGACAGTACTACTGTGGCTGTGTACTCGATGGAAACAGAGACTCCAACAGCTGAAGACATCCAGCTGCTGAAGAAGACCGTGGAGAGCGAAGCCTCACAGGTACAATCAGTCAGTCAACCAATCAGTCAACCAATCAATCAACCAATCAGTCAGTCAACCAGTCAGTCATTCAATCATTCAATCAGTCAGTCAACCAGTCAGTCATTCAATCATTCAATCAGTCAGTCAACCAGTCAGTCAATCAATCAGTCAACCAGTCAACCAACCAATCAGTCAGTCAATCAATCAATCAAGTCAACCAATCAATCAACCAATCAGTCAACCAATCATTCAATCACTCACTCAACCAGTCAGTCAAGCAATCAGTCAACCAATCAATCAATCAAGTCAACCAACCAACCAGTCAGTCAGTCAACCAATCAGTCAACCAATCAGTCAGTCAGTCAACCAGTCAGTCAACCAGTCAGTCAACCAGTCAGTCAGTCAGTCAGTCAGTCAGTCAGTCAGTCAGTCAATCAGTCAGTCAGTCAGTCAACCAATCAATCAGTCAATCAATCAGTCAGTCAGTCAACCAATCAATCAGTCAGTCAACCAATCAATCAGTCAGTCAACCAATCAATCAGTCAATCAATCAGTCAGTCAGTCAGTCAACCAATCAATCAGTCAATCAATCAGTCAGTCAGTCAGTCAACCAATCAATCAGTCAATCAATCAGTCAGTCAGTCAACCAATCAATCAGTCAATCAATCAGTCAGTCAGTCAACCAATCAATCAGTCAGTCAACCAATCAGTCAACCAGTCAGTCAGTCAGTCAGTCAACCAATCAGTCAGTCAGTCAATCAGTCAGTCAATCAATCAGTCAGTCAATCAGTCAGTCAACCAATCAGTCAGTCAACCAATCAATCAGTCAGTCAATCAATCAGTCAGTCAATCAATCAGTCAGTCAGTCAATCAGTCAGTCAGTCAATCAGTCAGTCAGTCAGTCAATCAATCAGTCAACCAATCAATCAGTCAGTCAACCAGTCAGTCAGTCAGTCAATCAGTCAGTCAGTCAGTCAGTCAACCAGTCAGTCAGTCAACCAGTCAGTCAATCAATCAATCAATCAAGTCAACCAATCAATCAACCAATCAGTCAGTCAACCAGTCAGTCAGTCAATCAGTCAACCAGTCAGTCAATCAATCAGTCAACCAGTCAACCAACCAATCAGTCAGTCAATCAATCAAGTCAACCAATCAGTCAACCAATCATTCAATCACTCACTCAACCAGTCAGTCAAGCAATCAGTCAACCAATCAATCAATCAAGTCAACCAACCAACCAGTCAGTCAGTCAGTCAACCAATCAGTCAGTCAGTCAATCAGTCAGTCAATCAGTCAGTCAATCAATCAGTCAGTCAGTCAATCAGTCAGTCAGTCAACCAGTCAGTCAGTCAGTCAACCAATCAATCAGTCAGTCAACCAATCAATCAGTCAGTCAGTCAGTCAATCAATCAGTCAGTCAGTCAGTCAATCAGTCAGTCAACCAATCAATCAGTCAGTCAGTCAGTCAGTCAGTCAACCAATCAGTCAACCAATCATTCAATCACTCACTCAACCAGTCAACCAATCAATCAATCAATCAAGTCAACCAATCAGTCAGTCAGTCAACCAGTCAACCAATCAGTCAGTCAGTCAGTCAGTCAGTCAGTCAGTCAGTCAGTCAGTCAATCAATCAATCAATCAATCAATCAATCAATCAATCAATCAATCAATCAGTCATCCAATCAATCAGTCAGTCAACCAATCAGTCAGCTGCTCCTCTAACCCGGTCTCTCTCCGCCCCCCCTCTCAGGGTATGAAGGACCTGAAGAAGGACAAGGTCCTGATGAGGAGGAAGTCAGAGCTGCCGCAGGACGTCTACACCATCAAAGCTCTGGAGGCTCACAAGAGAGCCGAGGAGTACCTGACAGCCAATCAGGAGGCTCTCTGACCGGGGGAGGAGGTCCCTGAGCCCGACTCCGCACCCCTCCTGTCCGTCTCTCTGGGGAGGAAGTTGAAGCTGTCGTGGAGAAACTGGTCTGGGGTCAGATCAGGACTAAAACAAAAAACAAAGCTGGCCTCTGGCCCCCGGGGGCCGCTAAAGAGCGGGACTCTGTAGAGCTGTTTCAGCGTGTCAGTGGTCATGTGACGATGACATCATCCACTTCATCAGCTTCAAAATCACAAACGGCCTGCAGGCGGCACAAAGACCGGAGGTCCCTGAACGCATCACCACTGGGCCTTTTCCACTTCGGGAACCGAACCACCTGTGAATGAATGTTGCCGTCTCCTTCCAGGTTCTTCCAGAACCTTCCAGGTCCTGTGAAGCTCCAGGTTTCATGGCGTTGAGTTCCTGCAGTGGAAAAGAGCTCTAACGCATCTCCTTTGTCCTGTGACACCTGAACGCAGCACAGATGAGTTCACTGACTCGCCCAGTCCTCCGGCAGCAGCTTCACCCCAGAGCCCCGCCCCCTCCACCCAACCTGACCAATCACTTGTCAGCATGGATCTGAGCTGGACTCTGAAGCGGCTTCACACGGACCGATGATGATGAGGAGGAGGAGACACAGTGAATGTAGACGTCCAATCAGCTTTCAGCAGAACCAAGAGGAAGTTTGATTCATTTCCTGTTTTGTTTGTTTTGATGTTTGTCGTCATGATGTCATCAAGTTTAGACCAATGAGAGAAGTCGTTTGCATGATCAAACCTTTTATTTTGTCGTTAGTCTGAACACGTAAAGAACAAAACCCCTCGAATCTGAACGTCTCATCAGGTCAGAGGTCAAACACCAAACTGCCGTGATATGTTCAGGGGCTGTGGGAAATTATGCAGACTGTGAAATAAGCTTCTGGTGTGAATATTAACCGGTTTCAGTGAATCCACGAGACGCTGTCACTTTATTCTAATTTCACTAATCAGAACAGCGAAGTCACTTCCTGCGTCTCGTTTCACGTTAAAGCTTTACACGGGCCGACCGCATGGATGCTTTTATTGTGAAGTACAACAGGAAACGGGTTGTGTCACAGACGTCCGACAGCAGAACTTCACTGCTGTCATGAAACCTTTAAAGGATCTTTAGAGTTTTCAATCAGACGCGTCAGGATCAGTCACTTCCTGTAAATGCGTCTGTAAATGTGAACGCTGTTCCTGCAGACCCACTTCCTGCGCTCAGACCGGCTGCGGCTCGACCCGAGTCTGGATCAGTTCCACACGGCTGCTATCGGAGCTGCAAACGGTTCAGACGTGTCGCTGATCGACGTGCTAAACAAACGCTTCAGCTGCAGAACCAAACTAAATGTTTCACACACATAAACATACGTGTGCGTGTCTTTAAGTAGTTGAATGATACGCTTTCATGTAACCTAAGACTCAGATTCCCATGATCCTTTGCGGTCTGGGTCGTGTTTACACGAACAAGCGTGTGGCGCTGCCTGAAAAGTTCGTAACGAAGAGAAAACGTTGAGGATCGTTGTTTTCGTTTCACCGCCACAGACTTGTTTTCACTAACTGCAGCAGAAATGAATTTAAATCACTGAAGAAAAACTACAAACGTCATTAAAGTGCATTTTTCTTCAAACTCGCCGTCGTCCAGAAAGCAGTTAAAGAAAATGTGTGAAATTCAGTTTCTTAGATGCAAAGTTCAGTCACACTTGTGATAGAAGCTCAGAGTGAACTGAGAGACACGACCTTTAAGATGCAGGCCACGTTTTTGTGACATGAAACGCCCACGAGCAAATACTATTCCAGATTCAGTAATCCAGAGAGAGCGCGTTCAGGTCTGAGCGTTAACCTGTTCGCCATTCTTGTTTTGACTATCGAGCATTTCCTCGTGTAACCGTGTAACCTCGCTGCTGTACTGCACCGCGGCGCAGAAACAATCCTCCGTATGAAAACACTTTACTCTCCAGGCGGCGGCGTGTGGGCGGAGAGACGTCTTGTATATTGCCATGTATATCGACTTGTGGCCACGTCCCACTGCAACGCTTAAGCCCCTCCCCCTTCATTTTATTTTTTTATTCTTACGTTCTAGTCAGCTGGTTTTTGTTGCACGTGGTCTTCAACTCACCGTCCCGTGATTCGCTGTCAATGGAGACCGTTCCCGTGGCGGGAAAGCCATCCCTCGCCGCTGGACCGAACGGCCGCCACAGCTTCTACTGTCAATCAAACTGGAGTCTGGTTTTAATCAGAGGAAGAGTTGTTATTGATCCGACGTGATCATAACATCCGTTAAAGTAGAACCTTTCAGCAAACTGAACCAAACTACATGGACATTTCTAAGAATTTAAGGACAATCCTGCAGATAATAATACGTGTAGTTCAGTGGGGGGGGGGGGGGCGGAGCTGTAACAGCGTTTGTCCAGCGGCGAGACGTTTAGGGAAAGAAAACATGGCGGCGATCTGTCCACTCGACACTTACAAACCTGAACGCTGCTTCCTGTCGTCCTGTACATAATGTTGAACTTTATTTGTTGGAGCATTACATGGTATGAAAGTCTGATTTTGTACAGATGTTCATGTATGTACAGAACAAAATAAACAGAAATAAAGTGGACATGTTTGACAACCAGTGTGTCTTTTATACCAACACACACGTTTAATCGTTCAAAACAAGGTTTCAAAGGCTTTAAGGTGGAATGTGACTAAATATCCAACATTTTACACTGAAAAACCCCAAACTTAAGTTCACAGAGTGGCTGCACATAATGAAGAATCTGCAGGATGTTTTCTTGATTAGTTTATAAAGAGGAAAGAAGCAAACACCTTGAGTTTACTGTCACTAACTGATCTACTCTCTAAGAAGCACGTTTTAAATTCAGATGATTTCATTTCCCCAGAAACGTCCTCAACGTTCAACATTAAGAGATTTAAATGATTCCTCAAACAATAAAGAAAAAAAAGAGTTTGTAAAATTGTGTTCCGGCGCTTTGATTCTGAACATTAAACTTTATATTAAGACAAACTGCTCTGTAGTTCAGACGTCGGCCGGACGGTTTGAGGAGACGGACGTTAGCCAGCAGCTCATCAGAGTCCAGCTGGAGTCCGGCTGCGGTCCTGGTCTGAAGGTCTAACTGAACCTGGACCCAGGTGGCTTCACTCACTTCAAAACTAACATATGACCCGAAGCCTGAACCCGATCAATTTAAAGGGATTTAACTCCTCAGAGCTGAGACGGGTTACTGATTCTGTTCTCTGCTTTTAAATAGCTCAGAATCAGGAAAATCAGTTTGACGGGAGTCTGACGGAGAAATAATCTTTTATTTATTGTCTAAAAGTAAAATAAAATCTGAAGAACAAACGGATCAAGAACATTCAGGTGATTCACTCGTTCACTACCACTCACTGTTTACTTTCCCAACCCTCTGGCAGGGCAGTGAAGTGTTCGTGGTGCGTTCAGGGACAGTAGAGAGTCAGTAGAGGTTGATGAAGGTGGCGGTGCGTTCAGGGACGTAGAGAGTCAGTAGAGGTGATGAAGCCGTGGCGGTGCGTTCAGGGACAGTAGAGAGTCAGTAGAGGTTGATGAAGCCGTGGCGGTGCGTTCAGGGACAGTAGAGAGTCAGTAGAGGTTGATGAAGCCGTGGCGGTGCGTTTCTGGGACAGTAGAGAGTCAGTAGAGATTGATGAAGCCGTGGCGGTGCGTTCAGGGACAGAAGAGAGTGAGTAGAGATTGATGAAGACGTGGCGGTGCGTTTAGGGACAGTAGAGAGTCAGTAGAGGTTGATGAAGCCGTGGCGGTGCGTTCAGGGACAGAAGAGAGTGAGTAGAGATTGATGAAGACGTGGCGGTGCGTTCAGGGACAGTAGAGAGTCAGTAGAGGTTGATGAAGCCGTGGCGGTGCGTTCAGGGACAGTAGAGAGTCAGTAGAGGTTGATTGTTAGTAGAGTTGATGAAGCCGTGGCGGTGCGTTCAGGGACAGTAGAGAGTCATAGAGGTTGATGAAGCCGTGGCGGTGCGTTCAGGGACAGTAGAGAGTCATAGAGGTTGATGAAGCCGTGGCGGTGCGTTCAGGGACAGTAGAGAGTCAGTAGAGGTTGATGAAGCCGTGGCGGTGCGTTCAGGGACAGTAGAGAGTCAGTAGAGGTTGATGAAGCCGTGGCGGTGCGTTCAGGGACAGTAGAGAGTCAGTAGAGGTTGATGAAGCCGTGGCGGTGCGTTCAGGGACAGTAGAGAGTCAGTAGAGGTTGATGAAGCCGTGGCGGTGCGTTCAGGGACAGTAGAGAGTCAGTAAAGATTGATGAAGCTGTGGCGGTGCGTTCAGGGACCGTTGATGTTGCCCCTGCGGGTGAGGCGCAGGGCACCGGCGCTCTGCCGGCTCTGCAGCGTGCTCTGGACCATGTCCTTCCACTGGTCGTCTGAGATCTCTGTGGCCCACGACGGCACGGCCAGAGACGGCAACGCCACAGCCGCCATCGTCCTCTTCACCAGCTCCACGTGGTTGCGGGGGCGACAGGAAGTGATGTCAGTGGACAGGAAGGATGTTACAGCTTTTAGTTTATGTCATGTTTCCTATTTTTTGTACTGATCAGATGTATTGATCTAATTAATACCTGCGTCCATGGGGATGGAGGCTCGGCTCCTCTGGGCCGCCGCCCCCTCAGGGTCGTCCTCCTCGTCGCTCTCTGGGGGCGGAGCTTCAGGCAGGTGCAGACCCATCACCTGCAGGACAGACAGACGGGTGAGTCAAACATCCTCCCCCTCAGACGCTGCCGGCGTCCCAGACTGAACTCACCTGTATCCTGTGCTGCACCTGCTCGGTGGGGGAGGGCTCCTCCTCCTCCCCCCTCTCCTCCCCCGGCTGCTCGCCGCCGTTCACGCCTTCAGGGTCCTGGTTCAGAGGTTGGTAATAATACCCTCCACTGTTCTCCTCCTCCTCCTCCTCTTCCTCCTCCTCCTCCTCCTCTCCCTCCAGCTCCATCTCTCCCACCTCCTCCTCCTCACCCCCTCCCTCCCCCCCACTCCACACGGGCAGCAGCGCTCCGTCGGCCGGGCGCTCGTCCTCCCCCAGCTCGTCCTCAGAGTTCGGCAAGACTCTCTCCGGTCCCATCGTGGAGCTGCAAACTTCCATCCACGGACACACTGGGGGGGAGACGGGGGAGACAGGGGGGAGACAGGGGGGAGAGGTGGTTACTTTCAGCTGGTGTCAGACTCCTGGAACTGTGGAGCGGACAGGTACAGCCAGGACTAACACACCTGGGGCCCCAACAGGGGCCTCTGTGTCGCTGTGAGGCTGACGGCCAAGAACTGTCCTGTTCGTATTAGAGGGGGGGTGCGGGCGGCGCCGTCCTGTTCACCCTGTACGCAAACGAGTGCACCAGGAGGAAACCTGCCATCTCCTCCTGCTTCACCACAACCCAGACGCTCTCACCGTTAGCACTAAAGAAACTTGGACCCTCGGCCGGTGGGGGATCAGACCCCAGTGTCCACACAGGGATCTGGTCTCCACCTGGATACCCTCTCAAGCTGGAGGGATCATGTGGACTATGGTGTTCCTGTTTACAGCAAAGCCTGTATGCAGTGTTTGGAGTCAGCCAGACCATCATGGTCTTATTCTACCCGGCAGTGACGGCGCGGGTCGGCAGGTGTGCAGGGGGAGGTGTGAACAGGTCAGTCGACCCATATGAGCTCCCAGAATCCCAAGAACCAAGTGAACCGTTTTAAGAACTCTTTGGCCTGGTGCTGCTGACAGCCGGGCCCACCTGTGTCTGGACCGGGACCGGGTCTGATGCCGGACCCGGCAGCGCGCGGCTATATGGATCTAAATGCGTCATTTAACAAGTCATCATCGTCACGGTCCTCTGCAGAACCAGCACGCAGCCTCACGCACGAGACACACTGAACCCCGGGATCTACCTGAAATGTAGCTGACAGGTGACCACGCGGAGCCCCGTCTGCTCCAGAGTTCCCGGGTGCTGCAGCCCGGTGTTCCGCAGGGGGTCGGTTCACACCTGCAGCAGCCAGCAGCTAACGAAGCTAACTGTTAGCTGCTCTGAGCTGGTAATTAAACTCTCTCTTCTTCTTCTCCTCCTTGTTGTTCCAGCGCGTGAGGAGGAAGAGGAGGAAGAGGAGAAGCCTCCCCCTCAGGTGAGGAGTTCAGGTTCTTACCTGTCTGCTGTGTGTCTCTGTCGGAGCTGTTAGCCGCTGCTAGCTGCAGCAGCTGAGCACACTTCCGAGTACGTCACGACAAACAAAATGACGCGTGACGCCAAATAGATTTTTTTTTTAAATAACGAACTTTATTAACAATTTACAAGAAGAAGAACAAAACGCCAACAAACAAACACATGAAACAACTCGTCTCCTGAAGTTAGAGAGAGTTTCTTCATAAATATCTGGTGTGAAAGGAAAATATAAAATTTTATGATACAAATAATAACCAAGTGGAATAAAGATCAGTCCATGAAAACACATGAACAGAAAGGTGCTGCAGATCTTTCAGCCTCACATTTCATTAGTAACCGTATTTATGCATTTACAGTTTAGTTGAATGGAGGCTCGGCCCTCAGCTCAGTGTTTCACATCTCGTCCACAGATTGGTTTTTAAAAAGCACTTTTATCAGTTTCAGCAGCACAAAGTCCAAGGACGTCACTTTGTGTTGGGGAGTCATGAGAACAAGATAACAATATTCTCCAATACTATTTAGAATATAAGCTCTATGATTGGGGAGTCTGCCCCCGAACATTTTGAGCATTAAGCTCTTAATTTCCTGCATTCTAGAGACATTTTTTTGTCTTTATTTATATGAAGGGAAACAAAATTCATGCGGTCGATTACAATTCAATAAAAACTATTATCGATATAATGCAGTAATCAGAAGCTTGTTTTTTTTGCCTGAGTTACCTTTTGGGGCAAGGCAGATCTGTTTTTCTGTTTACATTGCATTTTATTCATTCATATCATGCATGTTAACCTTTCTCATAGCCTTTTCATTTGTTATTTAACATTTTGTTGCAAGATAATTTGCAGAAAACTTTTAGCAAATGCTTTCAAAAAGTGGTGGGGACATGTCCCCCGAGTCCCCAGTGTAAACGACACCTATGACAAAGTGACACATTGCTGTTCTGATCCACATGTTGTGTAATCTGTTGACAGAACCAACGTCCTGGACAATGTACTTTTACTTCTCCCAGTAACTAGTAGTGTAACTAATGACTTTTCTAAAACAGCATATTATTACTAGTTACTAAACCAAGTAACGCTGCGTTGCTCGTTACTGAACGCACCTTGATGTGAATCCACGACTGCGGCAGCTCAGCTGGACCGGACCTTCTGTTGTTCATGTCCGCTGAGTGCCAAAAACTACAGGAAGAGAGGAGAACGAGGGAGAGAGGCGTTCTTTCCACAGCTGGAAGTAGCTGCTGCCATGATTGTGTCACAGTCTAAGAAGAATATTGTCGTCTATTGTAAACTCTGTGTGAGATCAGTGTTTGTGGACTGGATTAAGACGGTCGCTACACTCATGAGGCTGCACCTAAGCTGAAGGACATGGGGATCCACGTGGAAGAGGACGAGAGGGACGGACTACACTTTACACAACACCTTTGAAGTTGCACTTAGTGCTATTTGCCCAGAGAAAAAACGCCACACCTTTCTGGTGGACTACTGGAAGTCACCTTTTTTTGTTACTGTATAATAGTCCTGGAGTAATGATGATCTTTTTCACTGGGTAATTTTGTGCACAGTCTGGGTTTTTTTATGAGATGTGTGGACTTGATGGTTGTTACCTTGAACTGAAACTGATATGGACAGGCTGAAACTTGTCTTATAATATCCATGGTTTAAATCATCCCATCAAGAGGAGGAAGATATGAGCCAACTTAAAAACTCACAATGTTCAATACTCTACTACAAGAAACTCATTTGGTGGAGGATGAATATAAAAAACTAAAAAGATAATGGGTATTCATGCTTCATATCGCAAGAAAAGTGGCATAGCTATATTAATTAATAAGTCCCTACCATTTCTTTCAAATCAGTAATAAAAGATAATATGGGAAGATATGTAATGGTTGTATATCAGTACTCAACATATATACCCGAAATGAGGAATGGAACAATCTTATTGTGCAGGTGGATCACAGACCTCTGACGGACAGGAAGCAGCACGTGAAGCTGGGAAAACATGTCTCAGAGTCCAGGACCTTCAGCACCGGTTCCCTCAAGGCTGCGTTCTTCCCCCATCCCTGTACCCTGTACCTGTACCTAAAAAGTTTGGGATACAGGTGGCGCTATTCAAAGCTCAATTGGTAAGACAATCCCATTCATTTCAAAGGGATTTTCATCCAAGGACATTTCCCCTCATAACTACGGCCCACTACATTGCACATTCAAACCTTATGTCTACATGTTTGGGGGATACTGACGATTCCTATGGTGTCGGACATGCCTCTGTGCAATCACGTTTTCATTTCGCTAAATCGCAAAACTGGAAAACCAATTTTAATTAACTGCTCCAAAGCCGCAAGTCCGATCGCCACGAAACTTGGCACAGATAATCTCTGGACCAAGCCGAAGAAAGTTTGTAATTTGTAATTTTGATCTGCCAAAAACGGCCGAATTACAGGCAAATCAGACCTCACGTTTTCAATGCCCGAATTACACCAAACTCGGGGACCTGTCTGGCACACCAACCCAGGGCCTGTGTCAAATTTGCCGTCAATCGGCCTCTAGGTCGCACTATTCATTGCAAATCACATTCATTTCAGATCTCCGTAACCGCAAGCCCCTTTCATTTATAACTCTGGTCGTGTATACAATAAATCATGGCGGGCCCAGGCCAACTCGCGTGCCTCCGCAGGACCAGGGAAGTGCTTGGAGTTCTAGTTATTTTTTTAATTCTTCCATGCATAAAACTGATACTGTAGCCTAGACGGTAAGTGCTACAGACGCGAAACTCACAGGTTAGGTTCACAGCCCCAACAATACCTCAGTCGCAAAAATCCACATACTTCTACCTCTAGGGGGCATATAAGCAAAGTCAATGCGTTGGGCTTGGAACGCCCGTCTACGAAGGCGGATATCAAAAACCTTATTCACGCGTTCGGGGGATTGAGCTGAATCTCGTGGTATAGGCCACGGCCATTTCCGCCTAATTTTTTGGAAAAAACTATTTTAATTTACTTCTCCAAAGCCGCAAGTCCGATCTGCACCAAACTTGGCATGGATAATCTCTGGAACAAGCTGATGAAAGTTTGAAGAGGAAATTTTGATCCGACTAAAAATGTCGAAATTATAGGCTAAAAAAAGTTTGCGAAAAACGCTAAAAACAGGAAATGACATCATACCTTCGCTTTGGAATGGCCGATCGACACCAATTGGAATATAATGTGGGACGCCCCCTGAGGGCCTGTACAAAATGTGGTGCAACTCTCCCCTAGGTGGCACTATTCATTCGAAAAGAATTTTCCTCTGTAACCACAAGTCACACTGACATGAATCCACAGCCAAATTGTTCAGCGTGGTCCCTTACTACAGGCCCCAAAGTTCACCCAAATATGCCCCTACATGTTATTGTAGATTAAACAAGATTAAAAAAATCCCATTGACTTACATGCATTTTATATCTCCATAACCACAAGTCTGATTCATACCAAATTTGGGGCAAGCCTAAAAAATTTGGTGCAATTCGGCCAAAAGGTGGCGCTATAATGGAAGCTCAAATACCGTCAGACAATCCCATTAATTTCTATAGGATTTTCAACCAAAGGACATTTTCCTTATAACTACGACCACTACATCACACATTTATAAACCCTTACTACGTGTTTGGGGGATGCTACCGATTCCGATGGTAAAGATACCCTCTGTGCGATGACGTTTTCATTTTGCTAAATCGTGAAAACTGGAAAACCTATTTTATTAACCCCTCCGAAGCCACAAGTCCAATTGCCATGAAACTTGGACAGACCATCTCTGGACGAGCCGAAGAAGTTTGTAGAGGGAATTTTGATCCGGCAAAAAAACAGCCGATGTCCTGTCACATCTTACGTTTGCAATGGCCGATCTACACCAAACTCCCGGACCTTATCTGGCACACCTCCTGAGGGGCTTTGTGAATTTTGCATCAATCGGCCTCTAGTGACGCTATAAGTTGGAAATTAAATAACACTCCCATAGACCTTTTCATTTATAACTCATTTATTCTCCACGGGTCCCCAAGTTGCAGCGGGGCACCTGGGCACCTGGGCAGGGGGAGCGGCTTGCGCCGGGAGGCTTTAACCCTGCGTATAACTGCTTGCAGTTCTAGTTACTTTGTTCTTCATGCTTGACAGGTGAAAACGTATGAGTGAAACTGAAATAAACGAAGGCAGAAAATATTTATGTCTAAAAA